TGTGAATAAACTAATAAGAGGAAATAAAGTATCGTTTTTCTTTCGTTACATATATGTATGTATATTCCCTGAACATACCATATACATTCACTGAATATACACATGTACATTCACTGAACATACCATGTACAGTCCCAGAACATACCATGAACATACAGTGTAATAACTCTGACAGATTCCTGGGACATGCATGGAATGTTCATAATGTAACTCATGTACGTCCCAGGAATATGCATGGACGTCACATGATGTTCCAGGTATATTCTGGAAATATCATTTTGCTATGTGGGAGTGGGCGAGAGGATCGAAAATCTTTATGAGTTTCTTTGCTCGCTGCCAATCTTGTATACATAGAATTCCGGATTACTCCTGTTCTTCCAGTGGGGTTTTAATGTATTTCTACTATTCCTAGTTGGAGACTCAAAAACTCGCTCAAAATGGCACCAAAACTCACCTGCATATCAAACCCTTCTCCAAGCTGCACTCAACGTCCAAACCCAGCTCCTTGACCTGGCGTCCATCCACCGTCAAGCATTCAATGGAAACCATGTGGTTTGCGTCGCATTTGCTCGCGTTCTTCCTCATGTTGTTCAGTATTATTTCCATCGGCAGCGGCTCCACTTCCTGCAGCTTCACCTTCTCCTTCCCGCTGTTCTTCAGCGCTTTCTGCAATTGGAGTGTTGTAACAAGCAGGCAGGGAAATAGCGCGGATTAAATGCCTTATCCTGGTTGATCCAGTCGGTCCATCCGCTGACGCACTGAATATCCTGCTCGTGCTGCAGAGTGGTGAGAGTGGGAGGCTCGGTGGGCATGCACGTTTGGCCTTTGCAAATTTTTTCGCCCCGCGAACAGAAGCAGGAGTGGCAGTCGTCTTCCTCCATGAGGTCGCCTTCGTAGTACGTGACCCCATCTAACTCTGGACCTCCAAAGAGTAAGTTCCCAGTTCCCCGCCCTCTCTCTTTCCCCAGATTCACTCACCCATGCAGACTGGGTTGCAGGTATTCCTAGGCACGCACTCGGCATACGACTCGTTCAAGTAGACGAAATCGGGAGGGCAAACTTTCGGGCTGCACCCCTCTACACATGCGTCCTCACTGCAGCTCTTGGTCAGCTTACTGTTAGTCATCAGGTTGTCGCAGGTTTCAAAGGGGCAGGCGCTGAAGAACCCCATCTTTAGCCACAAATTATCAGTTTCCAAGTGAACCCTACCTGATACAGGGCTTGTACAAGGAGCACCTCCGGTCGCATTGCATGGGGCACAAGAGCTGGCTTCTCCAATTCACTGGGGCGCCCCTGTTGTTGCATTCTTGGGCATATGCGGCCAGCGCTGTGCACAGACATTCACAGTCTCCTCCTTGGTCACAAGCGCAAGCATCGAACACGCATCTAGGGGAGAACATTTAAGTTATCCTTGGCGCGTTCTGTATATGTCCCAGATAGCACACGAATATTACAGTAATATTTTTTTGCAATTTTTAATATAGGTTGAAGCGACAGATTCTTGAATATTATAACAATATTTCTTTGACATTTAAATCAGATATTTACAAAATATTTTTTTTGCAATATTTAATATAGGTTGACGCGACAGATTCTTATATATTACATTTACAAAAAAATATTTCTTGTAAATATTTATTTGACATTTAAATCAAATATTTATGGCATATTTGTTTTAAATATATATTTGGCATTTAAATCAGATATTTAAGAAATATTTTTTTTGCAATCTTTCATGTAGGTCTTAATTTATTCTTAATTTATGTGCTTCATGTTAATTAAGTATTAGAAACAAATATTTTTGAAATAACATTTAAAAAATATTTTCTTTTGCTCTGAAATGTTTTCTATTCATTTACCAATGAAAATTGAAGTATTATGTTCTAAAGTTTGTTCCCACTTATTAAAATAATATATTAGTAACTTTTTGCGTGTTAGTGGTGTTATATATAGGCACAAAAAGTATTACGTACTAA